TCCGGGCGGCCTGGCCGGGGCGGGGCGGGCGGCCTGGCGGGCGTGGGGTGGGGTGGAGGGGCGGTGAGGAGTCAGGTGCAGCCGCGGCCCGGAAAGTTTCCTTTTAGGCCCGAATTGGGGACTGGCCTCCTTTCGGGGAGCCCCGGTCCTAGCACTCGCGACCCCCGAGGGCGTGGGGGAGAGCACTCGGCTATTTTGAAACTCTTTGCCAGTTCCTGTCCGTGGAAGGTACTCCGCCCCTGCACCCCTCGCCCGCGCCCCACCCCGCTCCCCGGCGAGCCCTTCCCGGGCTGCAAACTCCAGCCCCGTCCCCAGGAGCCCCCCGGCGGGAGAGAAGACCCTCTCTTCTCATTTGGAAAAGTTTTCCAGGGATTTGTCTTAGCTTATTAGTTAGTGACTGGGCTTTTTGCAGTGGGAAGGGAGGAGGTAGATTCAGGTGGTATTTCAACGGGGCAGGCTTTCCTAATCGCTTTTTTAGCCCTCACCTCGGAAAGCGGGGGGTGTTATTTTCAGATTTAGCGCCCACCCTCCCCTCATCCCGGACTCCTTTGGGTCTCGAGCCCCCTTTTCTGGACAGCCCTGCAGAGGGAAAGATGTAGGGAGCGGGGAGGAGACTGTCAGTGAGAGGGGGCTGGATTTCTGGAGCAGCCCCCAGATGGAGGAGTTTCCTGTCCTATTTGGTCACCGTCCGGGAAAACAAACACGGAAACAGGCCCCAAGGGGGAGACCCTGGTTGTCAGAGCGGATCCTGCTGGGAAGCGTTAAGGAGTGGAGGTGGGCAGGGCAGCTCCTGAAACAAGGTCTACAGTTTAAGGATCAGTAGTTTATTTTTTCTGATAGTAGCTATTTGGATTTCGGTGATACTCTTTACGTTCGACCCTCGGAATAGTCAAATAGGGATTTTAAGGCAACTAAGTATTGCCACAACTCAGAAGGGTCTGTGGAAGAGCCTTCAGGGAACTGGACATAGGTGACACAGTGTGGTTTGGGTATCCCTCCCCCCCCCCCCCCGTTTAAACGGATTCAGTGTTAACTATTTTGGTGCCATGAGTTTTGAAAGTTAAAAAAGTCGAGAAGTTAAATTTCCAAATCTAGATATCCTGGTTTTCGGGGATGGGATGTTTCCTGTGGCTCCACTTAACTTCCTTCTGGTTGTTCTTTAGTATGGAAGTCGAAATGTTAATGTGCCCTGCCCCCCGCTAGCAGCCCCCCGCCTGGGCATGTTGGGGAGGTTATTTCCCCTCTTTCATTTGTGCTTTTCTTCCCTGCTCTTTCTAGTGGACTTAGGGCGGGAGGTTGCATGCAGATATGTCTGTCCTGCCTGAAAGCAGGCTGGACTTCGCTGGCAGAGGTGTTCCACATTCTGACCACTCTAACCCCAGAGCACTGCTACCAGTGAGAAGCTGGCACTTGGAGACGGATGGGGATAACCCCTGACTTGGTCAGTGCTGACTTCTGTTAGGCGTGGAAGTGAGATTGATTCCTTCTGTGATTCTTACTAAGTGTGTCTTTCTTTTCCTTTTGTCTGCCTAAAATAAAAACTCCTTCTGTTTCTCCACAATGACAGATACCCAGCCATTGAGTGTTTTACTTTTAAGAAAAGCTTGATACTTGAGATTGTATGGATTTCATACAAAAGTGCAAATTACATTTAATGGTTGTTTAACTTTATTGATTAATTGAAATTGCTTATTGATTGGGACATTTTCATATACTTGTGTACCCAAAATTGTTACTTCTGTTATAGCTTGTCCTTATTTTTAGAGCATATTGGATGGAGGAAATTGGTCTATGAGTCTCTTTAAGGTTTTAAGGTTAAAAAATCTCTTTGCCTCATAATTTGATAATTTTAAGGTATATTGTTGGCTTCACATTCCTAAGCTTTCAAAAACTGTATATGTACAAATCCCAAAAGTTTGTACTTTTTCCCCACCCTTCCTAATATAATCACTCCATGGGCTACTTTATTCCTGAAGGAATGGCAGTTTTGATAATCTAAAAAGTTACATTATATCTGAAATAATAAAAGACTTTCAGGGCAAATATTGAATTGATTTTTTTTTGAATTGATTTTAAATTGCTAAGGTAATATACTTTTTCACTATTAAGTATTTAGTTTTAAAAGTAGATGTTTATTTTCATGTGTAAGTCTGAAGTAATCAAGTTTTCTTTCCTCTGAAAGATTGTCTACGGAAATTGTATACCGCACTCCAACTATTTTTCTCAGCAAATCATGTTAGCACTATTTTTAGAGAAATGAAATTATAGTTTAGGTGGATTTAAAAATTTCGAAGTCAGAGCACCCAGAATTAAACATGTCATTTCAAAAATTGCTGATCCATTCATTCTTTCCTGAGATGTTCCCCCAGGGTTCACAGCTCTCACCATCCAGGTTTGGAACAGTAGTTAGGGATAATGAGAGGTCATTTATATCTGAATACAGTTAGTAATATTCTCAGACAGGTAGCACCTCATCTCTCCAATACACACCTGGTAACTTGTAAACAGTGGTTGTATAGGTGAGACTGGGTTGGAGGCAGCAAATTGTCCACAAAGCAGGTACTCCACTGAGTATACAATGGTATCCCATCTAAGTCCATTTAACTTATGCTAATGCAACTGTGTGCTTTGCAAAACAGACGGCAGTGGAGTCTCCTTTCCACTTCCATCAGGTGCGAATTTGCCCCAGAGCCCTGCTTACAATGGTTGATTTTAGACAGTGCTTCTGGCTTTTTTGAAATACTTGCAGAGATACTCTTGATCAGCATAAAGTGAAGATCTTTAGGCCTCTCTGTTTTTCTCTCTTTACTTAAAGATGCCAGGCTACTTGGTTGTGATTCTTTCCCAGAACGTGACTTGTTTTTAAGACAGCTTTTTGGCTACATTTTATTTGTAACAGAGTATCCTGCTGTTAGCCCGTGAGGACTGGGCCTTGGGTTCTGATCCCAGTTCTTTCACTGGGCGGGTTCCTCAATCTTTGGCTTCTTTCTGTATAAAGTGGAAATAACTTTTTTGATGGAAAGATTAGATGTGATAGCCCATGTACTTGGCCCTTAGTAGATGCTCATTAAATATTAATTCTTCTAGCCCGCCTCACTTTTCTGCTAGCACCATCTAAATACCATTTCTCTTATTTGTTTTTTTTCTGACTGAAGGTAATAGGTGCTCATAATCGTCTCATTCAAGAGAGAACTATTGTCAACATTTTGTTGTGTTTTCTTTCTCTATCTTGTGCTTGTGTGTGCTTGCCACATAATCTTAGGATCTGCCATTTAACAATGTTGTATAATTTTGTATTGGTTAAAAGCTTGAGCTCTCGAGTCAAATTGGCCTTGAATACTACCTATCTGACTTGGACATTAAGTCTCAGTTTACTCATCTGTGAAAGGGGGTGATAATATTTCCTTCATAGGGTTGCCGTGATGATTAAATGAGGAATTGCACATAAAGTCTTTAGAGTGGTGCCTGATGTGAGACCTTTATATAATGTCTTCCTTTAAAGATGTTTAATATTCTCAATGTGAATTTTTTCCATGTGGATGAGTGCTTGACTCAGCATATATTAATAATACTAATAAGTATTTGAGTGCATATACAAAATAATAACTACCTTCATGGGGTAAATGAATATTTTTGTGCCAGTAAAAAATTAGCAGTATATTCATAGAAAATTTCAGCAGCTTGATGTTAACCTAGTCTCCTCTGAACTCTGAGTTGACAAATGTAAAGGAATGGTAAGTTCACCACTGGGCAAAAAGGTGGGTTTACTGCTGGCTTCTTTTAAGCTCTTGAAGTTACCTGCCTGCAGGTGTGTGTTGCTTGGCTTTGAAGGGCTGAGTTTGTGGCCTTGGTAGCTCACCTTGGGAGGGTGTGATGTTTATCTGAGGCTGGATTTGCTGGTGCTGTTTCATTCATTTAACAGATTAGCTTCGTCAGTGATAGCTCTGGGCCTCCTAATTAAAAAGACACACTCTCTGCCCTTGAGGAGTTTTTAGTCTAATGGAGAAGAAGAAAGCTTACATTTGCAACATGGAATGATAAGGGATAGATTAGCCTGGTGGAAGGAAACCTTATTCTGGCCTAGGGGCAAGCCGTAAGGATTTTCAGAGGGGGGAGATCTGCCCTAAGCGAATGGGAGGAGTTCAGAAGGCATTCCAGGAGGTGGGACCTGCAAGTATGAATTAATGCCTAAGGACAAAGGAGTATTCTGTGTTGCAAATTGTAGGAGTTGAGGGGAGTAGGAATGAATAGTGGGAGGGGGAGTGGTCAGCCTGGCCAGGTTGTAGAGCAGTTTGTCTTTTAGACTAAGGAGTTAGGCTTCTTTTTACATTTATGAAGGCCTTTGGCCAAATGAATTATTTGCGTTTTAGAGGATTCGAATTGCACAAAAAGTGGAATAAAGGAGGGCAAGACTGGAATTAGACCAGTGAGACAGCTGCTGAGAAGAGATTGAAGGTTTGGACTGATATGGTGTCAGTGGCATTGGAGGTGGAGAGCAATCAGTGGAGAGGCTGGTTACGGAGGTAAAGTGGTCTACATAGATTGACCGGATGTGTAGATTTGGGAACCATCCTCCTATAGGTAACATCTAAAGTTGTTGAAAGTAGAAAGTTTTGGCTAAGTCAGTGGTTTTTCGTCTTTTTTGAGAATCTGATGAACTTTCTGGACCCATCTCCAGTTAAATGCGTTTATGCACATTCACAATTTTATGCATTTGGCTTGAAACCTAGGATAATAATCGCTGGTCTTAGGATAGATGTAGGACAGATATTAAAACGAAAGCCTGTAAAAATATCTTGACACTCACTTTTTGTGTGTTTGTGTGTGGCTGTGCCACTACGGAGAAGAGGAAACAGATCTGTACAATAACATGCTCAGGGTCACACTTCTAGTTTCTTAACAATTTCAGTGAGCTGCTGATACGAAAAGATTTTGTGGGAAAATTTGGACTTTTACCTTCTTACGAAAAATTGGAAGATCTGGAAGCCTTGGATCCTTGGTTTTTTTTAAATGGCAACAACTTGTTTGAGTCCCCTGTCTTTAGACGAGCAGTTTGCCAAAGTCAGCCCCTGGCCTACCCCTGCGGCCTATCTAGGCATTTCATCTTATATCCCTATAAAATAAGATTAAAGGAATCTTGGGGGACATTGACATTTAAGTGTAGGGGCCAAGAGAAAGGAAGCCACTGACTGAGCAGTCTGAAAGGGATTTTTCAGGAAAGAGAAAGT